AACACTAAAATAACAGTATGCTGTCAGCTTGTATTCTATACAGCGCTGTACTGTATTTTCTTATAGTAAGAAACCATTATTCGTTGTTAGAGTAAGCACACTGTTATTAATTAACTTGACAGGGAATCTTCTCACACCTGATCTCAGCTTCACCTCATTCACAGTGTGTTTTTTGACTGCATCAGTGTTAACACACAGTCAAATTTGCTGTCTTTACAGTGAAGAATTAAATTACAGAGTAGTCTGCAAATGGATCAGAGCTGCATTTATTCCACATTTATGTAGCATCGAGTTATAGTAATTACCAATTATGCCAAAGCCAACATATAAATCATAATTCTTTTCTGAATTATTTCTGGCTTGACACTTACTAACACAAAGTGCCTGAAAAAGTCAGTCGTTTGTTATAATTAGACCAATTTATCTGTCTTTTTAAATGTCACTGAGCCGGGCCCAGCCGCTCAGAGTTGTGAATATTTCCATCTCTGCTGTTTGACCTGCGTGCGTCCAGCTTGTGCATGCAGCACAGTTGAGTAAGTAAGTAAGTGAAAACACGTGTGGATGAAACATGGGTGTTAAAATCATTAGTTTGAGATTATATAACCTCACCTGCAATCTTAAAGGAAAGTTTGAGTCAAAACCAGAATCCATCTGGTGCGATTAGTATTCCTATCGCTTTCTTGATGTGATTTTTATTGCACCTGTTTAGAGAACGGAAACTTCTTTGATGTTTTTGAAACCTCAGCAAACTTGCCGTGTGTTTCTCCTCAACGACCGCACTTAATCAAACTGAGCAGGGACCTGATCAGCCATATAAACTGCAAACACCTGTGGGGGTCTGCAGGGCACTTTACTAATTACATTTATTTATAGTTAGGTGTCGCAAATGCCTCCTTTCCACTGCTGTTTTGTGTTACAGGGATTTCGTAGGAATTAGAACTATTAAAAGGCACTTCATTTGAGTCAGCGTGACTGCATGGAATAAATCTTCCGTCCAGATAGCTCTCATCTTTATGCCTCATAGTCAGAGCAGGCATTGTAATATTTTATATGCATGTCCGTGTTTGTACTTCGGCGTCTCCAATTGTTCACCTGGGTGAAAGACAAAGTAAAGTGGAATTACAAGGTGCCGTGCCCTTGTGAGAAAGTGCGCCCCTAACAGTAATCCTATTTTAATCTGTCTCTGGAGGATATCTGTCCTGGATTACCAAATATGAAGAAATGCTGCTAGGGAGGGAGCACAGACACACTGAATGAGGTAATTCAAAGAGAGAGATGATAGAACAGTTGCTATGGATTCGCAGTCTCATAAAGTCGATGTTAAAGACTGAAAAAATAGGATTATATAATCTGGTGAGTGTATTGCTTATAAATCTAGAACTCTTGGCTTAAATCATCGTCAATTTTATTTATTTTGGTGATACAATCAGTTTATAATTACTGACAGTTATTCCTAAGAGTCATTGTTTTATTGAGTTGGTTTGACATGTCATGTGAAACCAAAAATACTTTTATTCCTACTGGAGGCAGCTGGGACGAGCTTTGAGATGATTGATGGTATTCCAATAACAAACATGCGAATATAAATTTATTTGTTTTCTAAAAGCTTTCAAAAACTAAACCAAA